CTGCTCCTCTGATGCTGCCTGCCTGGCCTGCTGTGTTCCTCCAGCTCCACACTGTGTTATCTCAATTGGCCAACTGGCCTTCTTCTATGCCATAATGCTTCTGTGATGCTGTGAAAATTCTTGGGCTCTGTCTTCTCTTTAAGAGAAGAGGCATAGATGCTTTAAATTATACATTTGAATTTTATCTTTAATATTTATGATCATTCCATTTATCATGAGTTGCTAGCTCAAACATGATGACACTGAGATTTTCTTTTGTAAAATTGTACAATATCACTTTCTGAATTCTACAATGGGCAGCAAGTAAAGTTTAAGACATACAAAGTTAGGAACTGACCTCAGGCAGTGGTACAATCCAGGTGATACTGGATTAGCTATCTAGCCCATTGTGTGCAGCACCTGAATTTCAGTTTCATTGCAATTAGTGGACTTTAAATGTCAGGCGTGGCTTGGAATGGGCAATCGATCAATTTTGTTCAAATTACTCCATCTAAAACAAATTTCTAGTCTGCATACTTGTGAACTACCAAGTGTGTACTAAACTGCAAAACAGGAAAAAAATTAAGATAAATTTATATATTTGTCTAAAAAAGTCACAAACCAAACCCTTGTTTATTCTGCTGCCTTCTCCAACAATGTTGTAACTATAGCAGCGTTTAAGTAATGAAGTGTTTGTAGTACTTCTACTATTAACAACATTGGATACCTTTATTAGTTCCCTGAGGATGAACTTAAGTAGTTGATACAGCTGTGTGGTCCTCCAGTGTAGACCATACGAAATAGGAACAGTAGGCCGCTTGATTCCTCTGCCATTCAATAGGATTATAGCTGAAACTTGCTCCATTTCACTGTTGAGTTGTTCTTGATGTTTTTGTTTCAAGGCATGAAGGTTCATGGTTAGATTGGGAACTATTTGATTTGCAGTTTGGTATATTCTTCAGACCATAGCACATCTCTGAGAAGATACTTATTTTGCTACAATGAGTACATTGTTAGTGGAAGGCTAGATAGTTTTCTTTTTGCTAATATGGGGGTTTTGAAACCAGCCTATGACAAGATATTGTAGTAGTAGACTGCTTAACTTTCACATTGATATTGTCACATGTAGTATATTGTTCAGATGATAGATCTGTCTTCTCTGGTCATATGGTTTATTACACTTTAAGTAGTCAGTACATTCAGTAAAATCTTCTGCATTAAATGCAATATTTTATGGATTATGTTTCTTGAACAATTTTCTAGACTCTATATCCACCAATATTTGGACTACTCATTCTAACATTAGATCTTCTTTTGAAAAATTTCAGTAACTGATTTATCTAAGAGACAATTTATAGCAAATGAGCTCATTATGTTTCCAAATTTGAGTGGTTCAAATTGTACTCACAGATAAGTAATGAAATGGTCTACAGCTTCTTCTAGAAATTGATATCTGCTATTGAAGCGTGATCATGCCAGTGTCCTATTATTTCTGACAGTGAAATATTGATTAAAAGCTATTAGGAGGTTGTCAAATGTAAAATCTGCTTCTCAACAATCTGTTGTTTGTATAACATGATCTGATGTTCTTCCACGTAATACAGAAGTTAACTAACGTGTTCTGCATTTGACTCTTGTTCCAATCACAATATTGTTCAAAATTTTCAGAATTATGTTTTCTATAGAAACCTTACAAAACAATTTGCCAGAAACATTATAATGCCATCACCATCCCATCATGATTCAGGCTAATACTGTAGCCCAATCAGGTCAACTGGCAACCCAGTGTACACTGCTCAACTTTACTAACTTTGGTAATGAATATTGAACTACTATTTCATATAACAGCATTCCCACTACTTTTGATGCAATTATGATTTTAGATAGCTGTTTCCAAAATATTATAAATGGTTGACAATATGACTGGATGCATGATTGGAGCTGAATAAAAGGAGAGCTGGAGAGGTGTTATATCAAACGGATCTGAAAAATTTAAGCTTTTCTGGTTTTAAGATTTGAATTGGTGAATTTTGTTGCATTCTTTCATTGTTAAAGGCTCTTGATTTTGTTTTTGATTTAGAAGAATACTGTTCTCCTTGTGCTCCACATTTGTTGCCTTGCAGTATTCTCAGTTGATTAAATTAGTTGATAAATATTTGTTGTTGTACAAAAACAAAGTTGCTGAAGTTTACGCTGCTTTAAACGTTGTTCAATTTTACTTTACCAACATGACATCTTCATATGAAGATATTCCTTTTCCAAGATGAAGATTGTGTCTCACAAACTTGATTTTTTTGAGTATGTTACCAAAAAGGTTGATGACAGCAAAGCAGTAGACATTGTTTATTTGGACTTTAGTAAAGCCTTTGACAAGGTTCCACGTGGTAGACTAATTAGAAAAGTTAGGTCACATGGGATTCAGGGTGAGCTTGCCAACTGGATATATCATTGGCTCAAAGGCAGGAGACGAGTGGTGACGGAGGGTTGCTTTTTGGATTGGGGGCCTGTGACCAGTGGTGTTCCACAGGGATCGGTTCTGGGTCCTCTTTTGTTTGTCATTTATTTAAATGATTTGGATGAGAACATAGTCATGGTTAGTAAGTTTGTGAATGAACTAAAATTGGTGGCATTGTTGACAGTGAGGAAGGTTTTCTAAGATTACAAAGGGATCTTGATCAAATGGGTCAATGGGCTGAAAAAAAAGGCAGATGGAGTTCAATCTGAATAAATGCAAGGTATTGCATTTTGGTACAACAAACAAGGGTAGGGCTTATAAAATTAATGGTAGTGCCTTAGGTAGTATAGAACGGAGGGACCTAGGGGTGCCGGTACCTCATTCTTTAAAGTTTGTGTCACATATAGACAGATGGTTAAAAATGCGTTTGGCACGCTTGCCTCCATGGTGCAGTCCTTCGAGTAGAGGAGTTGGGATGTTATGTTGAGGTTGTACAGGACATTGGTGAGACCTCTTCTGGAGTACTGTGTCCAGTTCTGGTCGTCCAGTCATAGGAAGGGAATTATCAAGCTGGAGAAGGTTCAGAAGATTTATCAGGATATTGCCAGGTATGGAAGGTTCAAGTTACAAGAAAAGGCTGGATAGATTGGGACTTTTTTCACTGGAATGTAGGAGGTTGAGAAGTGACCTGAGAAGTTCATAAAATAATGAGATATCAAGTTGATCGTAGTTGTCTTTTCCCTAAAATGGGGAATTTCAAGACTAGGGGACACATTTTTAAGGTGGGAGAGATTTAAAAAAGAGAAGGCAATTTTTTTTTTTTTAAAACAAAGGGTAGTTTGCATGTGGAATGAACTTCCTGATTAAGTGGTGGATGCAGGTACAATTACAACATTTAAAGACATTTGGATGGATGTATACATAGGAAAAGTTTAAAGGCATATGGGTCAAGAGCAGGCAGGTGGGACTAGTCTAGTTTGGGATTATGGTCGGCATGGACTGGTTGGACCAAAGGGTCTGTTTCTGTGCTGTATGGCTCTTATGAAGTAGTATTTTCAAAAACGATCTGGGTAGAACCGGAACAAAATGGCAATATTGAATTTATATTCAATGATTTCTTTTGACTGTATCAAAGAGGTTGCTATGACTTTTTTTTTGTATCCAGAGATGTCTTTGCATCAAATTTAAAAACCCCATCATCTTTTTCTTGAGCTAATGTTTTTGCATTTTAATGAAGAATAAAATCAATAAAACTTCTTAACTGTCAAATAAAATTTTGACTTTTGTCAAACCTGTCAAAACAAGATAGACTTATTAATGTCACCCTTGGAGCTCTGATACTTTGAACTACAGCAATGATTTACATTGTGATTAAAGTTTCTCAATCAATTTTATGTATCTTAACTTGCTGTTCTTAATTTTATCTCAGTAAACAGCTCAAAATATTAACTCCCTGTAGAAGATTTAATAGTGGTCCTCTTTATAGCTTTTTGGGTGAACACAAAAGTGTTTTGCACCTTCCTTTAAGAGGTGAAATCTGCTTTTGGTTTCGGAACGCAATGTTTCTGTTGATACACAATTCATTCATCCCGCTAGCTGTTAGTGTGCTTTTACTGCTCTCATTGCTTCTTTAAAGGCTCATTTCCTCTTATTGGCTGTATGGCTTTCTGAGATTCAGTATTTTGGTGTTCTCGAAGAGTCTTTTTGTTCAGCAATGTTTCCTCCACATCATGTGTTCAGGTGTTGTTTTCCTAAATGCTAGCTGTTCTAAAAGCTATCAAGAAATCACTGGGAACAAAACAATGGTTTATTGCATTCTATAAAGAATCTCAGGTCTTATTTCTTGAACATCAATTGTCAATTTTCCAGGCATTTAACTCCACAACTTCTACAATCTTTTATTGCGGTGTTTGATGCCACACTTAGTTGGGGTTCAGGACAGAGGGTTGGGGATAAGACAATGTCAAGAATGGTCTTCAGGCTTAGAATTAGAAATAACAGCATTTAGTATTAATGTAAAATAATTAGTTATATGATAAGTATAGATCTACTAGGATTTGACATATAGTTACATTGGTTAAGGATTAATCTAGTCTCATATCCACATCCAATCTCAATCTTTCGAGTTGGTTTCAACTTTTCCCACAGAGCACTATTTATGCTTATTGAAGTGGAGCTGTGATATTATCATAAGGTTGCTCCAGGGTCCCAAAGCCCTTCCACAATGGTTCTGCTCTTAACTCAGAAATGCATATTTACAATTAGGTTCTGGCCCACGCTGCTGATGAGCTGGCAGAACAAGATATTCCATCTAGTTTTGACTCCATGTGTAAAAATGCCCACAATTCAAATTGTGACTTACTATAAAAATTAGGCTTACAATGAGGAATTGTGCAAAAAGCCATGAAAGTGTGAAAGCAAGATATGAGAAATTGACAGATCAAGAGAAACAATTCAGGAACAATGTTACATATAGCTTGGTATTCAATATGTTGTATATCAATGGCTCCATGAAAATATTTGTTGTTGGTATTGTCATTCAAGCATATGAAAGACATCACATGGGGAAATAAAACTTGCATTTTATTAACATCTCAGACATCCATCAAATAATCAGTCCGTGATGGCCTTTTAGTTTTGTAACAAACATTCTGTGGCAAAAATCTGGGAAAAGAACTTTATTTGAACACATTAGAAATGTAAAAATACAAATGAACATACATAACCAAAAAAATAAATAGAGCCAATAGTGTTTGTACAAAATCAAGAGAAAACCATGTAACTGCAAAACAAAAGGCAATATTACAAATTACAACAAATGTGTAAACCCAAACCAATACAGAAAGTGAAACGCTTAGCCATGTTTAGAAGTTGGAAAAATAATTTCTTCACTATTTATTAGAGAAGCTCTGTCATATGCCAACTCATCACTTTTCAGCATGGGGGTAAAACTCTGCTTTTGGTATTGTAATAGCTTCCAGCCACACAGAGAAAATATAGGCAACATTGGTTGTCTCATTATCCTTTCTCAATGTTCAGAAAACAAAAGCACTTTTTTCAATCCACAATATTCAAACAGCATTTGTAAATTTAGACTGGGAGTGATTCTATCCTGTTAGCCTAATGCCTGTTTCTAGTTGCTAAGGTCTGACCTAGTGTGCAATATCGCACACTGTTATGCATCACTGAATTCACACCATTAACTGTACGTGATAAGAGCCTAAATAGTTTAGGTTTGTTGGAATATTCCTGGATCACAATTTTTGATTAAAATTGTGGAATATGACAAATTAAATGTTAGAGATATATATATTCACACCATCATAGGCAACCCATAATACAATGTCAGAATTGAACAGATGTGTGAGATAAATGATGTGTCAATGCAAACATTCTTCAAAAAAATACAGCTTGATTATTACTTGGTTGTCAATTGTTTTTGAATAAGAGCTAGTGTTAGAATGCCAGCTAGTGGAATGGAATAATCTAGACCAATGCAGAGTCTGGTAAAAACTACAACAACAACAACAAATTGAAAACTTTTTCAGAAGGACAACAAGGTTGTTGGCAATCAACTTGGAAATTACCATCATATTTTGTGAACAACAAAACAACTGGGATTTATTCTTTTAGTACTATTTTTGATCAGGTGAATATAAAAATTGAATATAGGACAAGAGGTCCTACTTTTTTTAAATACACATTTGAATTATCCACATTAAAGTATGATGTTATTTGAAACCCAAATGGAATGGTGTTGGTCCTACTCTCTAACTTCCCTTCTTTTTACAATGCCTGCTATATCACATCAATAGGGATGCTGTATTGGGCAGCACTCCTTCTGCCCTGAAGTTAGGCCATAAAGAAAAATGCAAGAAAAAAGTATAAAGTTTTTAAGATGCTTCAGTATCAAAAAAAAGGCAATAGTACCAGTGGTCAGGTACGTTAAAAAATCCATTCTTCAAAATATCTCAAAAGAGCCTTGTGTGCCAGGGAAGAGAGTGTTACACCAGACACCACGCAATTGAATTACCACCACTACTTAAAACAAGATGCAGTGTCAAGATCAATTTATATGGCATGTGGCTGTATCATTTAGTGTACAATTACTTAAAAGCAGATTTGCTAAGCTTCAATGCTTGCGGTGCACTTGGTGCCAAGAATGGGTAGTTTAAAGTAATGTGATGTGGATTACACTTTCTGGCATTGCTGAGTTCAATTGTAGCTAGAATGTTAGAGAGACCAAAACATAAGTAGGGAAGGGACCAGACTAGGTTCATATTTTTTAGCAGCAAACTCACAGTAATATTAGTCAAATATCTTAAGTGTATAATGTGTCTTTCTGAGCACAATGTATGATTCAGGGACGAAGCAAGGAGCTGGATGGAAGTAGAGGGATCAGTTCTATGCAAAATATAAAAAATGGATTTAACCAAGTCAAGACATAGCTAAATAGTAAAACGTTCTATTACTAAATCTTAAAATATGTTAAAATCATTGTTCCCATGAAGACAGTGGGGAGCTTTACTTTGATTTGTGCTGATCAACATAGATAACATCAGCAATGGAGAAAACAGGAAAACTTTGCTAGCCAGTCCCGATATCAGAAAAGATATTTTATGGATCTTTTTAACATATCTCAACTACTCAAAATAATTCCAAATTCAGAAATACACATTCTACTGTCATCATTCCAGTTTCCATTTCTCACTTCAGTTATTTATATAGCTTCTAAACAATATCACAAAAAGCAAGACAAGGAACAAATTCGTACTGGTGATCATCAAAGAACTGTTATTGACAAAATTAGTTTTACATGAGGGAGCAGAATGAAGAGATGTCCTTCTGGCTTTTGGATGAAAGTTGTGTTGTGCATGTGGTTAGGAAGGATTTTTTTCTTATTTCCAGTTTCAATAGTAACATTTAAAGTAAAGGACATTCTGATGAGAATGGGGTACTTCTGTCACCAAGTCAGTATCCAAAGCAACCAGGTATGCAGTAAACCTATCTATAAAGTACATTATTTGGCAGCATAATTAGAATCCCAGTTTAACTTTATATTTCCTCATCCATGCTTGAGTGGGCTGCCTGTTATGAGCAACTTTACCATCTTGACTCAATTCTAAACAAAAACTGAGAAAGAATGCCCTGAACACATTTTACGTCAACGAGGCAAGTTCACAAGACACTTTCTTGCATCAGCTTAAATTAGGTGCAAAACTATACCAGGGAGGTGAAAGTGTGTGCTGCCTCACTGTGCCTCCTTAATCCATCAAGTTTGTTTTTAATACTTATTATGCACTAGCTCTATACAAAGTTGGGTTACTAAGATTTTGTTGGAGTGAATCACTTATGGGCTACTGATTTGAAATTGGTCCTCTGACATATTGATCAGCTCATTGTACAAAAACGAGCATCTCAATTATTCCTCTTAAGAAATGGCAAATCATGTGTGCAATCCCCAAAACAACATGTTAATTTTTGCTTGTTTATGATTTTGTTTAAATCTGACGGATAAAGAGAGTGTTAAACAAGACTCAGTTGCCAACGTAACATTCCCATCCTTTAACTCGCATGTTGTTAATAGTGCAATATTGTATAATACTAAAAATGTTGCAATCAACAGGACTTTTCAGCATTACAAATCATTAACCAACTTCTGATCACAGCATAAAGCAGAGATTCTTATCCAAAGTTACAATAATTGCTGAATATGTTTTCTACTTTGTACAGTTAAGCAATATCCTATGTGGAGTCTGTGGTTTACATACTAAACACATAAATAACAAACAGCAGTTCTTTGATTCAACAGAACGTTGTTCAACTGACCAATATACTGAGCAGTTTGGCACTGATGTTTTTGATATTCTAAGCTTGTGTTGCCTATATATTAGTCCATTTTACATAGTGCTTAAACACATTTCTATTCCAGTTTTAATAATAATGCCAATTTGCTTCTCCATTTTGTTTTGAAGATGACTCATGAAGGCCAGCAGAGCCATCGATGTGTTCACATTTCACTGGACACATCTGACAATGTGACTTCTGTCCCCCTAATGTTTCATTATTGGATGGATGCAAAGCTTACAGCCATAGCAAAAGTTATGTGGTGAGGAAAGCACCACAGAAAGCAGGAAAATACCTCAAGGCTAGTGAGGCAAGCAGAACTGTTCTCAATAACATAGGCCAGATCAAAAATATTGTGCCTGTTGATAAATACTCTGCCACTTTGAAGAGACAACAAAAAAGTAGTGTCACTCATGCACAGAATTCTCTCTGTCCTCCCCATTGTGTTCGTATTGGCTGAAATGGTTGTGGTAGTCAGCATTAGAGGTTGTGATTGGAGGACTTCGATCTGAACTAGTCTTGTGCTTAGTTTGTCCTAGCAAACTGGGACTTGATAATTTCAGGCCACATGCTGAATCCAAAGCACCATCTGGATCAATAATCACACTGATGGCTGAAAAGTAAAAACACAGTAATTGTTAAATAACTGATTTCAATGAATCACAATTAACAATGCTCGATTTGTCAGATTTTTCTTCACACTTGTCTCTCAGTTTGTGTTTCATGTAAAATCAGTGTTCATTCTCATTCCTGGAAAGCATTTATTTTGGAAAACCCAATTCCAGTTTTATCACATTGTTATTGGAACAGATACACAAACTCGTTAGTCTCAGTAAAATATATTCTAAAATATGACTAATACTTTGCAGAATGCTAATGATATACCAGATGAAAAAGGTTGAAAAACTGTGATACCACTTACCTTGTAGCTGCTTCTCTACTTTTTTCAACTCCTGCAGAATTGATGAAATCTCCTTTAAAAGAATAAGCATAATTCATGAAACTGCAGAAACAAATACGTGCTTTATAGAACTCTGCCTTGTTTGTTTTCAGTGAGGGTTAGTGGATGGGGCATGTAAAATGTCAGGTGGCCAACTTCAGCTCATTCGCCACAATACAAGGTTGGGTAAGGTTCCCACCAAACAGCCTGTCTTTAGGCCTGCAGAGATCTTTAAAATGCTAAAGAAGGGTCTCAAATCTGTCTTCCTCCACTGCTAGAAGAAGCCAGCTAGTGGGTGAGAGTGCAAAGACATTTTTAAAGCTGCTTTTACGAAAAGTTCGTAAGAATGGGAAGATGGGTAAATCAGTTAGTGGGTACCCTGTGCCCAAAATATCACAGTCTCCAACCCCATTGTTTCTCCCTGCTCAACCTCTGCAGACAATGTTTAAGTTAGTGATGAGGTGTCAATCAAGTGGGCTACTTTGTCCTGGATGGTGATGAGCTGACTGTGCTGGTGGAAATGCACTCATCTAGGCCAATGGACAGTGTTCCATCATATTCCTGACTTCGTGCCTCGAAAATGGTACACAGCTTCAGGGCGTGAGAAGGCAAACTCCCAACTTCTGATGATCCTGTAGCCACAGTATTTACATTAAAATACATAACTGCCAACTGTACTTCTACAGAATGCACATTACCTAACAATAAAATAATTATTCATAATGTGCTTAATATATTTAAAGTTAAATTTAGCTGTAGTTAAACTTAGGTGCTGACTAGACATGACCAATAAGCTAATTTCAGAATCTCACACAAGTACATACATCTTAAGAAATATGACACACTGCAAGACATATGGTAAACTGCTTGATCTTCAGCTTACCTCAAAACCTTGATATGCGATTTTATTTTAAATAAAATTGTATAGGAATAGTAATTTTCCATTCTTGCCATTTCTGGCAGGTGATAGAAGAATACCAGAGGCTTCGTCTTTTCTAAAATTAATGCAGCTTGGACTGGACACATTACATGGGAGATTAATAGGAGAGGGGAATGGGAATAAAATATAAAATAGCTTACCAAAGTATGTTTAGCCTGACTGATCAAACCAGCTCTACACCCTGTTCACACATTAATTCTGATACCATGTCCACTTTTGAGGGAAAAAAAGAATTACACTAAGACCTTTCAGGTTTAGTCCAGAAACATCCCTCAGCCTCAACATGGTTATAAAATGGGGCAAGATCATTGTATGTTGAAATTTGAGATGCTACATTCCCATTTTTGACAGATGGAGGAAAACTGATGAGCAACTGCAGTTTCAACTTTAAAAATTTATTAACACAAGCAATTCATAATCACAAAAATAAAGAAAATAAAACATTTTCTGAACATTATGTAATCAACTGAATCCAACCATTTTAATTAATTTTTTTTTAATAGTACTTCTTTGGAGACAGTATGCCAGCAATATTTCACACTGCTGCAAAGATCTTCTTATCAAGACAATAATTAATAATAATAGTCTTTTTACTGCTTTTTGACAAGTATCATCAATCTGTTGAAATTTAACATTTAAATTCTAAAGTCTTGCAATCTCCTGTCTAACTCAAGATCTCTTCAATTCAGTAAGCACCAGTACCAACATGTCCTCTCAATCAGTGAAGCATTTCTATGTTAAAACTGAAAATGCGGGAAATACTCAGCAGGTCTGGAAGCATCTGCACCAGCAAGAAACAATGTTTTGATGAAAGGTCTGAAAGAACTGATAAGACCTCAGACCATGCCCTGCACACCCCTTCCCCCGCCGGAAGAGAAATCAACTCTTGTTTCTCTCCCCACTGCTACTACCAGATTAATTCAGATTTACAGCATCGGCGTTATTTTTGTTTTAGAGTTTCTATGAACTATTTAACAAGCAAATGGTGGTGCAACTTTTAAAGCAGATTTAAGGCAATCTAAACAGATCCGAACACACCAATCAAACGTACATTCAAAGTCACTGGGATACAATTGAATAAATATAAACATATCAAATCATCCACAAGAAAGGAAAACCACCCCCGTTTAAATCCCGACACTTTGCCCTTGGCATCTCACTCACCTATAAACAGGTCTGCAGAGTGCCTTAGCACAAAAGGGTTGTGAAAGCTGGGTTTTTAAGTATATTCAAGTCTAAGATAGACAAGATTTTTAGCTAAGGGAGTCAAGAGTTATGGGGCAAACAAAGGAAAGTTATAGAAAGAATAAACTGAGGATTATCATATTAACCCTGAGTGCATCAAAGAGTGGGATGAAGGTCTTTTTTAAAATACAGAATCCCCATTGTGGAAACAGGCCATTTGACCCAACAAGTCCACGCCAACCCTCCGAACAACATCCTGCCCGGACCCATCACCCTATCCTATCTATGTAACCCTGTACTTCCCATGTAAACACACCTAACCTACACATCCCTGGACACTATGGGTAATTTCACATGGCTAATCCACCTAACTTGCACATCTTTGGACTGTGGGAGGAAACCGGAGCACCCAGCGGAAACCCAACTGTGTTACGGTGCACAGAGTCTAATCAATTTGTCTGTCAATGAGTAGACAACATTCAGCTTAAAATCCAGAGCTCGCTACAATGCAGGTTATGGAAAGAACAACGTGAAATGGTCTACTAAAGGCTGGGGAAAAGGTAAATATCCAGCTTCATGGTAGAAACAGTTCACTCAAATCCGGACTACATCCACACATCAAGTTTTTTTTTCTTTATTCATTCATGGGATGAGGGCGTCGCTGTGAGGCGGCATTTATTGCCCAGAGGGCATTTGAGAGTCAACCACATTGCTGTGGGTCTGGAGTCACAAGTAGGCCAGACCAGGTAAGGATGGCAGTTTCCTTCCCTAAAGGACATCAGTGAACCGAAGTGCAACAGAAATTCAGAGTCCTCGGGGCAAAAGAAAAAATTTTGCCACGTGGTTTATAAACATCCATTCAGGCCTCTTATCTACAGTTAACCACCAACTGCGTAATTTCCACAACCTTTAACTCACTAGAAACAAAAAAAAAAGTGTTCCAGTTCTCATCATTTATCCTTGCTAGTGGAACAGGCTGCACCTAAAATTTCATTTGAATCCAGACTACGTCCACACATCAAGTGTATTAAAAGATTTAAAGTCTTCGAGTAACAAACCTCATGCAGAGGTGGTTTGATAGATGTATTATCAATTATCACTACTGATGATCATTCTATGTTTATAAATGTATATATAAAGTTAAATAAATTACAATTTTAAATAAGCTTCATATCCACTGTAAGTATCACCAATCAAAATTCCTGGATTAGTCTTCACTAATCAGATAATCATAAATAAATCTACAAATATCTTTGGAAGGGCAAAGAATTTTCAAACAGATTGTTTTTCATGGGATACCAAAATTATACACTTTGTCTTTCAGATGATAAATTTAATATTTAACCACCAGTACTGTTTTATAAAATTCCTGCATCCAAACAATGAGCTATTAAACCAAACTTGAGTCGAAGGGCAGCGCGAGGGGAAACGAGTCCCAGGGCAGTGCAACTTACCTTCGTGCAGCTGAGTGCTAGTGTGAAGAGGACTGGAGGCTTGGAGCAAAGTAGGACAGTTGTTGGGCTGGAAGCTGGTGTGGGCAGTCAGACCAAGTGCTGAACTGCTGCTATTTGAAATTCTTTACCGCACTGTAATGTCAATTTTTTAACTGTTATAACTATCATATTTCTAACTTATTTTTTAGACACTAAGTAATGCTACTACTTTGCCTTTTATTTCTCTTTTGCATCTAAGATTTGTATCGAGGTACTTGTACCTACGATGGCTCCATTAATGGCAGCCATTGCAAAAACGTTTTGCTGTACTTCTGTACTGCCGTACACATGATAGTAAAGCATATTCTATTCTATGTTATTGTACAGTTTACATTAAGATAGATTCTCAGTATATAATTCTACCAAGAACATACGTTGCAAGCAATTCACTTTCAGCTTTAGCTTATGTTAGTCACGGAATCACAAAGTTGTAGATTCAAACCCTACACAGGAGACTTGCACACATCATGTGGGTTTATGTTTCTATGGAGTGCTGCACTGTTACTGGTGCAGTCTTTTTGATCGGATGCAAAATTGAGGACTAGCGTCTGAGGGGGATATGAAGTATCCCACCCAACTATTCAGAGGAAAGCAGAAGACGCCCAATTTAATAAAACACAGAACTGTGGAGATCTGAAACAAAAACCAAAATTACAGGAGAAACTCAGCAAGTCTGGCAGCATCTGTCTAGAGAAAACTGAATCAATGTTTGTGAAAGATATACGGAGTTAAGTTAGAGCAAGCATCTCTTTTTCCCTGGCTTACCATCAACAATCCCTTCATCTGCCTACCTTTTAACTTCTCTTGGCTCCGTCTTAACCCATCCTCTCACTCTTTATCACTCCCACCCCTATTACCAGCATAAATACCACCAGAGAGAACAAACAGCTCCCGTACGTGGACGTCATGGTAGAGCGCAAGACAAACAGGGAACTGCAAACAAAAGTACACCGAAAAGCCACACACACAGACCAGGTATTGAACTTCAATAGTAACCATCCCAGCACACACAAACGAAGCTGCGTGCGAACACTTTTTAAAAAGGGCAACAACACACTGCAGCAACATGGAACTACGCCAGGAGAAAGAAGAATACCTCTTCCAGGTTTTCAAAGATAATGGATATCCAAAAAAAAACAAAAACTGGGTCAGAAGATGCCTACACGAACAACATCAGGAAGATACTACACGCCCCGACACACTCATCACACTACCCTACATCAGGAACACATTGGAACTCGCCACAAGACTCCTACAACCGCTGGGCTTCAGAGTGGAACAAAAGCCCACGTCAACCCTATGACAACTGCTCACCTGATCTAAAGACCCACTCCCCGCCATGGGCAGGATCAATGTCATCTACAAGATCCCCTGCAGAGACTGCGAGAAACACTACATCGGACAAACGGGAAGGAA